GCTTCCAAGGCCTTACTAATGAGAAAAAACCACCTGTGAAATATCCCGCTAAGCACATTTAAAATGACATGTCCTTAGTCTTAGGAATCTCCTTTCTCAGTGCACAATTATATATTGTAGAGATGTGTTACTGCAGCATTATACCAGATCCGTATTTCAGAAAAGAAAATGCTAAGAAGAAGAAGAAGGAGAAGGAGAAGAAGCAGCGCACACACACATAAACGTATACACAGCTGCCCATGAAAACGTGTTAACATCTGTGCTGGGTACGGTGGGACCCCAGTCAACTGGCTGATGGCTAGTTTTCCCTTTTCGTTTTTTCTTTTAAGATTTTATTTATTTAATTGAGAGAGAGAGCACGCACACAAGTGGGGGGACAGAGGCAGAGGGAGAGGGAGAAGCAGACCCCCAGTTTAGCAGGGAGCCCAATGCAGAGCTTGATCCCAGGACCCTGAGATCATGACCCGAGCTGAAGGCACATGCTTCACCGACTGAGCCAGCCAGGTGCCCTGCTAGTTTTCCCTTTCCAAGATATTTATTCAAAGTGTCTCAGAGCTGTGAAGAATAAATACAAAAGCTGTGTTGAAGGATACCAAGCACTATGTCATGTTTATCCAGATACCTTGTATGTGCATGATAAAAGTTCTCTAAGGATCTGCTCAGGGCTAACAGTGGCGACCTCTGGGAAGCAAGGGGGAGAGGCAGGATGATTTTCTCCTCCTTCTCCTTCTTCTTCTAACTTTAAATACATCTGTCTTTTTACACATTCCACTCTGTGACTAGAGAGGACACATCAAAATGCTCTAGACCTGGATTTCTTGGCATGGCACCACTGATATGTCAGTCTGGAAAATTCTTTGTGGTGGGGGCCATCCTGGGCACCGGAAGGTGTTTAGGTGCGCATCCCTGGCCCTTAGCCACTAGATATCAGTTTTGACAACCAAACATGCCAAATGTCCCCCGGGGGGTAAAAGCATCCCTCAGTTGAGAACTACCGTCCTAACCAGCAGAATGGCCATATTCATTATAAATTATTCCATGATTACTACAAGCAGTTATTATAGCTCAGGCCCCCGGGGCTCTACTGCCTTTTCCCTAGTTTGGGGAAGCATTTATGAGAACTCACTACTAGTCACCAAGGCCACTGAAATCTCCTGCGTTTGAGCCTCAACTGTCTCCCACATCATGCTTTTACTTTTCTCCATGTATCTGCTGACCTTCCAGGAGTTCCTCTTATGGAACTACCTCAAGGTCAGTTTCAGAAAAGAAAATGCTAAGAAGAAGAAAAAGGAGAAGGAGGAGAAGAAGAAGAAGAAGCAGCGCGCACACACAGATAATTTTTAGAATCTCTTTTTTTAACTAACTACATTAAAAATCAGAAGTAAAACTATTTTGTTTTAGATCCTCATACTTAAATGACCACAATACACTGGCCTGATGATTTCATCTTAAATGTTCATGTTTCATGCTTCCCAAATTCATTCTGACATGTCCTGAAGACTATTGTCCTCTGCTTTTGCTTATTTCCTTTCTTGTTTCACATCGGTTTTTGATTTTTGCTATGTAAATCTTACAGTGGCTTTTGCCCTAAAAGAACAAACTTGAGGGACACCTGCGTGGGTCAGTCATTAAGCATCTGCCTTCAGCTCAGGTCATGATCGCGGAGTCCTGGGATCAAGTCCCGCATCGGGCTCCCTGCTCAGTGGGGAGTCTGCTTCTCCCTCTGCCTGCCGCTCCCCCTGCTTGTGCTCTCGCTTTCTCTCTCTCTTTCTCTCGCTCTATCTCAAATAAATAAATAAAATCTTAAAAAAACAATAAAAAAAGAACAAACTAGAACAGGAGACACAAATGCCTAGTCAAAAGCAGAAAGACAGCACAGAACAGAGTTCTTCAAACTCTGTATCTATGTAACCCTTGTAAGAATTTTTAAAGACTAGGTACCTCCTCACTTCTTTTAAAATTGACATTTAAAATATTTTCATCTTGAGTTTAAAGAGTTGCAAAAGATGTAATTTCTGGCCTAAAGTGATTTCTTTAAATAAAACTGTTTCATCGGTCAATTAAATGTATCCGCTAGGGGCGCCTGGGTGGCTCAGTTGGTTAAGCGACTGCCTTCGGCTCAGGTCATGATCCTGGAGTCCCGGGATCGAGTCCCGCATCGGGCTCCCTGCTCGGCAGGGAGTCTGCTTCTCCCTCTAACCCTCCTCCCTCTCATGCTCTCTGTCTCTCATTCTCTCTGTCTCAAATAAATAAATAAAATCTTAAAAAAAAAAAATGTATCTGCTAGGATCTAAATGGCAGAGGGATTTGATTCCCACCATTATCCACTGAAAAATATATATAAACTACACTGTATGTTCATGTGTTATGTACTCTTCTGTTCACAGGCTACTTTCTAAACACACAAAAAAGCACAAGCAAGCCCTTCTTCAAAAGTCCAAAAACTTACATCATTCCTTTTTCTCCTAGATTTATGTTTCAATTCCATTTCCCCACAGAATTTCTCCTAAAGCAACTTATATTTTATGCTAGAAAGTCTATTATTGATTTCTTTACCCTACTTCTTTGCAATATAATTTAATTTTTAGGAAAATCCATGTAAGCCTAGGGCTCTAACTGCTTAAGTAACAATTTCCTGGATTGAGTTACCATTACAACTATAAGTGGTAGGGAATAGATCTCTAACCACAAAAATATAACACAGTTTTATAACTGTTAAGCATTAAAAAGCAAAATATTCTTTGAAATGCATATTTCCATGGATGTGCCCTTTTCCTTGTTTTTTCAATTCATTCAGATATCCATGGACAAATATTAAGTGGTCATCGCTAGAATCAGGGACAGCTGGGAATCAATTTTATTTCTATTTTTCTTTTCCTTCTTCTTTTTCTTTTTTAAATGTAAGCAAAAAGAAAATGTGTTCACATAAAGAAGAGGATGGGGAAAAAATAGATACTTTGTTACAATACTGTCCTTTTGTTCTCTGAATTTTATCCAAATTACAGGCCCCAAATCTCAGAGGTCCATCAAGGAAAACTACTTTTAAGGATCTCTGTGCTAACAGTTGGATTAGATCCACAGTCAAAGGACCAAGACAGCATCTGCACCACTGGAGGATTTGTGCCCAGGGATCAGTGATGAGAGGACTCACTTTCTCCACATCAGCACAACATCCCAAGGGTCCCCCTTACACGTGGAGATTTTGCCACCCAGAGACAAGGTAATAAGGGAAGAGTGTGTCTTTCTTTTGGAAAGCGGGGGAGAGCAAACGGGTAAGGGAATGCGGGCAAGGGGAACCGGCTGCCAGAGCATCCTCAGGCAGAGCGGTTTTAAGAAAGAGAGCCTGCGGATGCTGAGGACCTGGAAATGGATTTTGTGAACACTATCCGTTCCCCTGTGTGCCACCCGGAAGACCTCTGTGTGCTCTGGAAGGTCCATGGACCCCAGTCTGATGGCTGCTGACTTAGGTGACCTCCGGGAGACCCCAGATCATAGGACTGTACAAACAGGACAAAGGAACCACATCCTGATTAACCAAAAGAGAAAACCACATGTTGGGGCGCCTGGGTGGCTCAGATGGTTAAGCGTCTGCCTTTAGCTCAGGTCATGATCCCAGGGTTCTGGGATCGAGTCCCACATCGGGCTCCCGGCTCAGCGAGGAGCCTGCTTCTCCCTCTGACCCTCTCCTCTCTCATGCTGTTTCCCTCTCGCTCGCTCTCTAAAAAAATAAATAAAAATCTTTAAAAAAAAAAAAAGAAAGAAAAGAAAACCACATGTTACATGACTTCTGGTGGGACGGACACACTCGGAACACGCGGCATCACCAGGGCACATTCATGCCTGGAAAACAGGCTCTGAAGTCACCAAATCCCAGGGTCTAATGCCCAGCTCACAGGAGATCAGGGGGGCCTGGGGAACAAGGGAGACAGCCCCCCACCCCCCAGGAAGCCATTAGCCAAATAGCCAAATTCACAACATGGAATACTCTATGGGTATAAATGACCCAGTTTCTCCAACAAATTACTACAGTGGAAAAAAAAAAAAAAAATGAGATTGTTCAAGAATAAAAAGACCCTGAAAAGATATAACAAAAATTCAATGTGAAAATCTTGTTCGGATGCCGATTCTAACAAAACAATTTTCGATGACCCCTTTGAAAAAAAAATGGTGGGAATCATTATGAACGTGGACTGGGTGTTAGGTTACAATAAGGAATTGCTAATTTGGGTAAGTGTGATAAGAGGATTATGTTGTTAAAAAAAAAAAAAGTAAAGTCATTCAGTTAGAGATGTGGATTGAATTTACAGGTAAAATTACATGATGTCTTGGATTTGCTTTTACGAAATATTCCAACCTCTCAAGAAGGTGGGGGAAGGGGCACCTGGGTGGCTCAGTCATTAAGCGTCTGCCTTTGGCTCAGGTCATGATCCCAGGGTCCTGGGATCGAGTCCCGCATCGGGCTCCCTGCTGAGCGGGAAGCCTGCTTCTCCCTCTCCCACTCCCCCTGCTTGTGCTCTCTCTCGCTGTGTCTCTCTGTCAAATAAATAAAATCTTTAAAAAAAAAAAAAATAGAAGGTTGGGGGAAGTCAGAAGAAATGCGATTAGCAAATCAGTAATGCTTGAAGCTGAATGATGGCTACAGGGGATTCTGTCCATTTTTTTTTTTTTACGTGGAGATGTCAGTAACAAAAGGATTTTTCAGGGGAAGGTGAAAGAAAGAATATTTAATTAGCACCAAGGAGAACCTGAGGCCCTTCCTAAATACCATCTTATTTCACAAGTGCTGAGACAGCTGCCCAACAAGCAAGCCTCCCTTCTGGTCTCAGAGGCAGGGGCATTCAATAAGCTGGCCAATAAGTAGGGGCAGAGATAAAAAGGGACCTGGAGACCACAGAGATGCATCTGGGTTGCATGGAGAGAGCCTAGAAATACCCCCTTGGCAGAGAAATGTCAGAATAAACACATCTCTGTTTACATCGCTCCTACCACACGTTACTTACCCCTGCAGCAAAGCCAAGACTTCCATCCAAGATCCGCCTCTGAAAATATAAACAAGATGTTTCAAATTCTAAGGGATGTTTCTGGGGATAAAAGGAAACCATAAGACCTCAGAGAGCTACACGAATAAAGACTGGCCCGGGCCTGAGTTTGCCAACCTGTCTGCAGGCCTGGACCAGAGCCTTTATAACGTGGGCCAAGAACCAAGGGAAAAAAAAATTGTTTGAACCTTCCATCCATCCCACAGCCCATCAGAGTGTTTTTTCAGGGACGCCTGGCTTCCACTGGCCCATACGTTGCCTTCGACCTGGCTCTCCTGTGAATTATAACTATAAACCTTAATTAAGTAGCTGGCCTAAAAGATGGAAATTGACAAGTGTTCATGGGGACCAGGGGGGCCAACCAGAACTCTCCCACGGTGCAGCTGGGGGTACAAAATGGCACAGCCACATTGGAAAAATGAACTGGCAGCATCCACTAGCAGTGAACATAGGTGTCCCCTATGACCCAGCAGCGCCGCTCCTGAGCAGTGAAATCATCACCTAACGGCAACGCATACTTGGAGTCACCAAACACAGGCACAGAAAAGCTCTCAGCAGCAGTACTTGGGAGAGCCAAACTAGAAGCTACCCAAATGCCCACCAACAGTAGAATGGAGACATCAATTAGGAGGTATTCATACAACAGAATGCCTCATGGCAATGAGAGCACACACGATATATATATGAATGAAGCCCATAATCAGGCAGGGTAAACTGGAAAATAAACAGCGTGGAATCAGCCAGACACAGAAGAGCACATACTATATGATTACTCCATTTATATAATGTAGAAACACACGGAAAACTAATCTCTGCTGTCAGAGACCAGGAGAGGGACTGCCCTTGCAGTGGAGGTCGGTGGGGGCAAAGGCGGGGGGGGGGGGGGGACAGGGGGTGGGGGAGCAGGGGGAGGGGGTAGGGACTGGAAAGGAGCCTGAAAGGCTGCTGGGGGGCTGGTACTGTTCTAGTTCTTGAGCTGAGTACTAGTTTCATAGAAGCCATGAAAAATCATCAGGCTGTAAAATATGCACTTTTCTATATGCATTTTATATTTCAATTTAAAAACATTTGTTTAACTTCATAGTCTACGTTAGGGGTATCATCTATAGCCACATGGACATGTTACAGGCATGCTGGGTTGCTGATGGTCCCAACCCTTGAGACTCCCAGTGACGCTGGGTAGCTAGGACCACTGGCTCAGCCCTCTCCCTCCTCTGAGTGGCTGCAGGGTAGATGGAAAGGATTGACTCCAGGCAGCCGCACAAATGACATTCTTCTCTAGGCATGCCATGACAGGAGCAAAGCTGGCCTAACCAAATAATTAAATCAAACCGAACAGATCTAATAAAGAAGTCAGGTAACATTATTCTACCAGCATTCATCTGGATCTTGAAAGGAGAAAAAATGTACTTTTTTAAATGTCACTAAAGCCTTGATTCCACTTTTAGACATTTATTTCAAGGGATTAATCAGATACGTGCTCAAAGGTTTATGTCCATCATAAAGGTATTTCTAAAAAAAAAAAATCAAGAAAAAAGGACATAACCTAATTGTCCAACAGTTGAGGAACGGCTAAACTATAATGCATCCTTAGGACAGAACATGACACAGCCAGTTAAGTAACCCAAGTGATTGAAATAATCAAAGTCATCAAAAAGCCATTTAGGGATGTAGGAGGAATGCTTGTGATATCAAGTGAGGAAAACTGGTTATAAAACATTACATACCATTTGGTCCCTATCATGTAAAGAAACAGGCATAAAATTGTGTATACTCAAATATAACCGAACAAATCTGAACAAATAGGTTCAGGTTTTTTTTCTGAGAAGTGGGATCAGACACTTTTTTAATTGTTTATTATTTATAGCAGCAGCGTCCACAATAGCCAAACTATGGAAAGAGCCCAGGTGTCCATTGACAGATGAAGAAATAAAGAAGATGTGGGGGGCGAGGTGTGTGTGTGTGTGTGTGTGTGTGTGTAGTTATTTGGTTATATACACTATAGAATACTACTCATCCATCAAAAAGAATGAAATCTTATCATTTGCAACAACGTGGACAGAACTAGAGTGTATTATGCTAAGCGAAGTAAGTCAGGGTAAGACAAATACTATATGATTTCACTCATATGTGGAATTTAAGAAACAAAACATGAACACAGGGGAAGGAACGGAAAAATAAAATAAGATGAAAACTGAGAGGGAGGCAAACCTAAGAGACTCTTAACTATAGGGAACGAACTGAGGGCTGCTGGAGGGGAGTTCGGGGGGGGATGGGGTAACTGGGGGATGGGCATTAAGGAGGGCACGTGATGGAATGAGCCCTAGGAGTTCTATGCCACTGAGGAACACTAAATTCTACCCCAGAAACTAATAAAAAGTAAATAAATAAAAATAAATTTAAAAAGAAACATTTTATATCTTTAAGCTTTTCCATTCTTTACAAGCTTCCTACAATTAAAATATATTTTAAAGCAAGAAAACAAATTTTGAGTGAAGCCACTTCGGAAAGCAGCGGTGGAGAGCAGAGTCCGCGTGTCTACCACCCCAGGGGATCCTTGTTGCAGCGCCCCCTTAGCCGAATGAAAACGGAGGTCAGCTCAGGGCGCCAGAGCACATCTCTGGGGTCTCCTGTCTTGGGCCACCTTTCTCCCAACAGCAAGCCTCTTCCCGCTCCTCACGCCCACTTCCTGTGCAGAAAGGGTTAACGTAGCCGCCCCCCCCCCGCCCCCCCCCCCCCCCCAGCCTGCTCCCTTTGCAAGGTCCTGCTTGCAAGGCTGGTCCTTGGCTGGCTCCTGGGGACTTGGGACTTGAACCGCTCCTTCCATTCGCTGGTAAGGGTGGGTCCGTGTGCCTACACTGTTTTCCAAACAAGGTGACAGGTAGGGGACACCTGCTTTCTTCCCTCAAGTCTCGAATTTCAGCAGCCTAGAGCGCCTTCATGACCAGCCCCAGGTAGAATAGTCAGAGGCTGAGGCTCTGAAGGGTGCCCTGGGTGGACACATCACACATGTGTTACTGTATTTTTGTTTCTGGGGGAAGGAGAACTCAGAGTGTGGCCCTCACAGGAGGGAGGGAGCATCAGAAGCCTGTGCCCAGACTTCCCCAGACTCCGCCTGTCTCTTTCTCCTGCTGATCCTTCCAATGTTAAACCTTAGCCGTGAGTACAACTATAAGCTGAGTGGCATGGATCCTTCTAGTGAATCACCAAACGTGGTGGTGGTCTTGGGGAATATGCCTTGCACACAGAAGTTTCCAGCAATTTCTCCTGCTGATCCCGGTGGTTACACTAACACGAGACAAATTAGGGGCTCTGAGGCTCCAAAGGGGATGGGGGCACCTCTGTGAAGAAGGGAAGGCACCTCTTCCCTCCCGAAGAGCCCCCACAGCATTGGCCAGGGCCACATGGGGCTCCGGGGCCCCACCCACCACGGTGCTGCCTTTTCCCCAGCCCTCCACAGGGCAGCCCAGCCCAGTGCGGCTCAGGCCTCGCCTCATTGCAAAATAACTGGGGAAGACGAAACCATGGGCCTCTCTGCCCAAGAAGGGCACAAAGATGGCATGGCTGGGCTGTCATGAAGGAGGAAGAAGGTTCAGTGACCTGGTGGCCCTCTCCTCTGCCTCCTCCGTGTTTCTCATTCAGGGACCGGCTTTCGAAAGTTTTCACTACCTATCAACAGCAAGCAGGGATCCAGGCTGTGTGTCTTGAGTTCTGTGTTTCTGATAGGCTCCAAACCTCCCACGGAGGGGTGGGGGAACGTTGGATCTTACGTGACATCAAATACCTGTCTTACTGGTCTCCAACACAAGAGCATCTGGCTTGCCAACTTCCTTGACTGTGTTTTCGTTTCCAGATCCGGCTCACAGCATGTTTAAATGGATCTTAAATCCCTTACTCGCTTATCACTGCTACCAATTTCTAAGGCTGCCTGCTGAACGATGCAGGGACTTTGTATTCCTCAAGACACAGACGGATCCATCGCTCTAGGCCTATGGCCTGAGGGGATCAAGGGCTGGAGAAAGGAAAGGAATCTCAGGCAGATGAGGGAGGTGGGGGTTGTGGAGGAGTGGGGTGGGGTATGTGGCGTGTATTGTGGGGGATGAGTGGGAGTGCGGGGGCTGTGAGATATGCGTGTGGGCTATGTGAGGGTATATGGGATGTACGGGGTGGGGGACATATGGAGGGTTGGGGTGTGCATGTGGAGGGATGGGGGTATAGGAGTATGTGTGGGGTATAGGAGTATGTGTCGGGCATAGGAGTATGTGTGGGGTATGTAGGCGTGTGTAGAGTATGGGGAAGGGAGAATGTGCGGAGACAGGATATAGGGGCCCATGGGGTATGTGGGGGTGAGGCATGCAGGCACAAGGGTGAGTGAGGGTGCTGGGGGGGAAGGGTAGAGGATGTGCAGGGGTGAGGGGTGGGAAGGGAGTCAGCAGGGGCATGGGGAGATGAGTCTGTGTGTATTCATCCCAAAGCGGGCCGGGGAGGGAATGAAAAGATGGGATAAATGAGAACAGATACCCTTCCTTCCCCCCCAGGGTCTGCCATCACCCCAGCCAGGCCAGCTAAACAACCAAACCGAGCACCTGCACCAGGCCTGAAGGAGACTAGCCAGAAGCTAGAAACCACGCAGGGGCTAAAGGAGGCTTAATAACTTAATAACCCTTCCTACTCCCTTCACACCGGGAGGGAAGTAGCTGCAGACACCTGCCCTCCTGGCCTGGTAGGGAGAGCAGGAGAAGAAAACAGGACAGAGAACAAACATCCCCTACAACCTGGAGGTGTGGCCAGTGGCATGAAAGAAGGAGTCTGCAACCCGGCCAAGGTTGTGGTTTTCCAGCTTGCTAAAAGTACCCCCCAGCCCGCCCCCAAACCTCAGAACCGAAGCAAAGCAACTCACCTGTCCACTAGAGAATACGAACACGAGAGCTGCCCCGGCTGCCGTCAGCCCCCATGTGAATAAAGTCCCCAGCAGCGCCTGGAGCACAGAGCTTTGGCCTTGGAGCATGCTGGATACGGCTGTGTGCAGAAGAACAGGAGAGGGTCAGCCACCCGCAGTCCCTTTCAGGGACGCCCACATGCGCTAAGGTGTCCTAACACCCTCCACCTGGGCTGGCCTGTAATCTGGGTCGGTGCGATGCACCTTTCGGCCACGCCATCCCTCCACAGAGTCAGGCCGAGCCTCTCCATCCAGGCCCACCACATGTCAGAATTCATCCAACCCTGAAAGGACAGACCTGGGGCTACCTAGGGAGATGCCAGGGGAGCCCACGGAAGAGGTTAGGACATTGGGACAGAGTTCCAAAGAGAAGAAGCTCACAGAATGTGGATTATTTAGCTGGGAGGAAGAGAGCACAGGAGGGTCTGATTACAGCCTTCCAGCACATTCTGCCTACTCTTATCTGCCCTTGTCCATCATTTGTTCTCTCTCCTCTGAATACAGGTGACGAACTCAGATTCTCCCTTGAACCTCTCCCTCCTAAGTCCTGACCAAACCTTCAATGGCTCCCCACGGAGGCTCCTGTGGCAGCCCCCCTGTGACTTGCCAAGGGCATATGCCCCAACTGCCGTCCAACTAGCCCGTCGACTCTTCAACCACTACCCCCTATGTGGGCCCTGTACTCTAGCTCAGCTGAGTCATTGATGACACCCTCAACAAGTCCCAGATGGTCCCGGCTCCAAGTCACTCTGCATCCAGTTCCCTCCCAGAATGCCTTCGTCCTTCCTTCTCTGCCACCAGCCGACCCAGGGCAGATTCTGCTGCCCACCTGCCGCCAGCCGACCCAGGGCAGATTCTGCTGCCCACCTGATGCCAGTGTGGACTCCATGCTTTCCAGAGCCCCCTCCACTCCCATCCCAGTGCCCATCTGCGGTGCTTCTTTGTGCAGGCTTGCCTCCTTCATCTTTGATATCGTTAGCTGAAGAACAGGGACAGTGCCTTCTCACACTTGGCACCCCAGTAAAATCGGGCTTCCTGGCACCTGAAAAATACCTGTTGTATCGAAAAGAGCCAGCTTACCTTGATAGGACACTCAGCAAGGACAAGGAGATGGAGCTCTAAGTGGCATTTCCCTGTCAACTGAGCACACCACTGCTGAAATGGAACTTCTACCACTGCCCACCAAGGAGAGAAAGGGAAGTACCATTTCCTCTTGGTTTTGCTCAGAGAACCTCCTCTGGGCTTTAGCACATTTGAAATTCTAGCTCTGAAATGACAGGGAATCAGGCTCTTGCTGTGGAAAGTTACAGGGCAGAGAAACCCATTTGTTGAAAAGCCCTGTGTACACAAACATCAGGGCTCAGAGCCTCATCTCAAAGGGCTCATTCAGCTGCCCACTGGTCTTCCAGCACCCACAGAGCTGGACATGACCCAGTGGGCTCAGACCTGCCACGTCCCAGCACTGTGTGAGCAACCAGCAACCCTGGGCTTGCAGCTCAAGAGCTAGAGACACTGACTCTGTTAACCCTATAAGGAAATTGTGGCAGAGGGTGGACGGGGCCCTTATGCCAAGGATTGCAACCTGGTAAGGCTGTGAGTCTCTGCAAACCCAGGTGAGCCCAGGTGAGCCCAGGCTCAGCTCCAAAGCCAGGACGCCTCTAGGAGAAATAGCATCTATGGATACGGACTGTGTCTGAATAAAACTCAGGACGGTGACTGTACCAAATAAAGAAAAAATACTGTATTTTTTAAAAGCCCGCCTATCTACATACTTCATCTTGTTAAGTGTCACCCTAAAATGAGTGGTTCATGTTTGTTTGTAAACCAAGACACCTGGATCATGGCACCACCCTTTTATTTCTAGCTGCTTGTGGATAAAATCTGAAACAGCATTTACAAAGGCCTATAGCTATCATCCTCTTAGTACTTATCATCTGAGACAGGTCAAAAAAGAAAAACAACCTTTTTTTTTTCAGTACTGAATGTGCCTTTCAACAGCTAAGAAAACAGAAAAGAGGAAGCCATTTCCATTTGCCAACAGGCCAAAGTCAACGTGGGGTTTATGGGCCAGCCAACAAGAGAGCTCTGGGTGTTCCTGGGGGCTAGTGGGAGGGAAAGCACTATCCTAGCCTGTCTCCATTTACCTGAGCACCCGAGACATAAGGAAAAGGGACAGCAAGGCCATGCACATCCTTTCCATCCCAAGAGTCACAGTATTTACCAATGATAATGCCAGCCCAGTGCCCCCAGGAGAAGTTTCTTCCATTTGCTATTTTAAATCCTCACTCCTGGAAGGGTGATCTGAGCTGGTCCCACCTTGGGAAATGCAGGCTCTCAGGCTGAATCAGAATCTGCATCTTTTTCAAGTTCCGGGAGGGATTCTCACACGCGTTGCAGTGCAAAGCACTAGTCTACGACAGAGACCCAGAGCTTTGAAAGTGAGTTCTCCTGCCCTACAAGGGAGGGACTGGCCAGGCTGACGCAGAATCTCAAGAGAAGGAAACGTTTTCTCCAATAGGCCGACCAGTAGCACCTGGAGGACAGGAGCGCCAGTCACAGCCCCTCAAAATCAGCTTCCACGATGGGGCTCAGACTTCCTTGTGAGCCAGATGTTAACACATAAACCTTGATTAGTTTGCAAGAGTGAGGATTATTCCCTGCCCTCCCCAACTTTAAAGATGCCAACACCACCCAACCTGTGTCCACATTCTGCTACGACCGCGGAGGAGGGGACCCTGACAAAGGATTTCTTGCTTTTCTCTCCTCGCAAACCTGTTGCCCTGCTTCCAAGAGCCTCAAGATGTTGGTGATGTTGCAGAGGTGGGAACAGCACCTAATAAAACTGCACACATACACGGCCCGATTCCACGAGGAGAATCCAGCAACGGGACTCGGGTTTGGGCCGATGGGACTGTAGGAAAAGTTCTCTAATACCTCGCTGCTCAAAGTGCGGTCCGCGGACCACGGACCCAGGGAGGGGTTAGCATAGCAATGCATAAGCTCAGGCCTGCTGCATGGTCGCCAGATTTCCAGTCGAGTTCGAGAGGCCGTGCTGACCCCCAGAATGAGCGGGAGGGGACGCAGAAGGGCTGGAATCGTAGCCACCTCTGCTCCCGGGGCTCCGGGGGGCCCCCACATGCCCACGGGGATGCACTGAACAAAGAGGATTTGGTGAGCCACTGTCAAAGGAAGGTAGGTCAACACCCTCCATCGGACCCTGGCCAGAGGCAGAGGGGGCTCCGGGCGGCCTTGCCCTCCTCGGCCACCTGCCACAGCCGCCCTGCTTCTCCTCCGACCCCCTCCTCTACCCCCGGGGGCGCCCCCTTCCAAACTCCATTTCGCCCTTCCAAGTCCCACGCTCTCCTGCTGGCCCCAGACCCCGGGCCTCCAGCCCAACCAAGGCGCTGAAGGGAGAAAAAGCTGACTCACTACGGTGCCCTCTCAAGCCCCCACTCCACTTCCATCAGCCCCGCTGCCGCTGGCTCGGCCGGCTCCACTCCCGAAGTCACTTCCTGCTTCCCTCCCGGCACACGTGTCCCTCCAGCCACCAGGCCCCTCCCCGCCCGGCTGCGACTGGCAGATCCCGCCCGAAGAATAAATTCTCTGGTTCACAGCCCTCTGCAGGCTCGGGAACAGATGGGGCGGGTAGAACAGAGCCCGGAGGCCAAGCGGAGAGCATTCCGCATGCCTAAGACTGCACAGTCTCCTATGAAGCCACAGAAATCCCGCAAAGAGCACCTTGTAACGTCCCTGACATCATTTATGTCACTACACTTAGCAGCTGAGTCCGAGGCCCTGAGTGAGCAGCAGAGCAGGATGTGTTGGGGGGAGGGAGGGGAAGATTGGCGGGGGGGGGGGGGGGGGGACCTCCTACTGTTAGCATCCTTCTGGGGTCAATGGCCCTCAAACTATAGCTCCCATCAGAATTCCCAGGAGGAATGTCAAAAACACAGAATGCTGGCCCTCGCAGAGGTTCTAGCTCCGGAAGTCTGGGTGGAGACAGAGATTTTCTGTTCTGAACTAGGATTTGCTGATGCTCTGGTCCTGGGACCCCTCTCTGAGAACCACTGCTGCAGGTCAAGAGCTATGCTCTCCAGGCCTTCTATAAAAAGACCAGAGGGTGGAACTTCTAGGCTTAGGCAAAAATGCAAACAGGATGCCCTGTTAAATTTGAATTTCAGATAAATGACAGAGGGTGTTGTTCTGTCAGTGTGTCCTGGGCAATATTTGGGACATACTCAGGCTCAACACATACTTCATATTTGTCGTTTACCAGAAATCCTAATTTAACCGGGTGGCCCATACTGTATCTCATGAACCTACCAGAGGGTAACCTGCTCAGACAAACTGTTCATCATCACAGGGGCCACAGAGCAGGGGATCCAATAGGAGCTGGCTTCTATCCAGGAAAAGGCGGCCATCCGCGCTGATGATGGCCCCACGTGCGTGGAGTGTCGGGAAAGAAGATGGCATGGAGACTGCAGGGTGCTCTCTGCCCTCAGGAGATTCTCAGACCAAGGAGAGAGCCAGACTCAGCTGTCTGACCACAGACCAAGGGGGCTTACACGGCAGAGATTTATGTTCTCACGTTCCGGAAGCAGGAAGTCCAGGATCAGTCCAAGATCAAGGTGCAGATTTGGTCCTTGGTAAGAGCTGTCTTTCCGGCTTGCAGACAGCTGGCTTTTCGCTGTTCTCATGCGGAGAAAGAAAGATCTCTCTCCCTTCCTATTCTTTCTTGTAAGGCCACCGATCACATGAGGACTCCCACCCTTATGGCTTCATTTAAGCTTAATGACCTCCAAAAAGCTCTATCTCCAAATGTACTCACACTGGGGGGTCTGGGCTGCAACATATGCATTTCATGGGTGGAGCCCTCCTGCGTAGGATTGGTGTCCTACCAAGGAGACCCTGCAGAGCTCCCTCTGCCTTCTGCCGTGTGAGGACACGTGAGAAGTCTGTGACCCAGAAGAAGCCCCTCAGCCCACCACGCTGACACCCTGATCTGGGACTTCCAACTTCCAGAACTGTGACATGACACGTTTCTGTTGTGTACGAGCCACCCCATGAGTCTTGTGGTATT